CTAATGTTTCGTATAAGGGTGCTCAAGTGCGTAATGATAGTGCAGTTGGTCCTCCATGTTAGAAAATTTGAAATCTTAAACATGGGGTAAGCCCAACGTGTGTGGCACCATTCATTGCACAAAATCGGATTTTTGAGGAGATTTTAGTGATCCTTAGCGGGGTACTCCTACAAGTTGAAGCTAAGCTGTCTCTAGCACAAGTAAAATTTTCACCCGTTGAACGGTTTGCCTACGTGAGGATGTGTTTTTAAGGGCACAGATAGAGCTTCCAGCCCCCCTTAATTTCATTGACCCTTCACACGAAGTGAGGAAAAGGAGTTAAAAGAAGTACTCTGGCGAGCGGCAAATGTACAGAAATTGCTCTTGCTTACCTAATAAGAGTCGACCGCGCATAAAAACTGCAGTTGGAACCCCAACAATGTGAAAATGTGAAAAAGGAAAGAAAAAGAAATAAATGGTAAGGAAAAGGGGTTATAACAAGTGAAATGGAATGAAAAAGCACCTGATATGGAGAATCCTTGGTTGTTGTGTTATGTGAGTGAGTCTCTTTGTTCATGATTTTCTTTCTTAAGTGCACTGCTTCACATGATCCTAGTGTGAGTCTAGTACTCGCATTGAGGGAAATAGGGATGTCTTAGAAAATCGGTTGATCTCGTAAGTTGCTGAATGACCTAGGAAGTCCTCTATTGACGATCGGGGTTGCATGGTGATGTAGAGGTCTAGAGAGTTTTATTGGCTGGAGCCAGGTCTTCTTGGGGATAAGCAAACGGTTAAGTGTGAGGAGATTTGATAAACCGTTATTTGAACATCATATTACCCACTAATATTGAACCGTTTGAGAGTTGGTTCTCGTGTTTTAAGCTGATTTCATGCTAGGTTGTGCTTTTATATCATATTTCAGGATATGGAGCAGAAAGGAAGGCTTGAAGGTGAGTTTCGGGTCAAAAGCACCAAGGGAACAAAAGGAGGAGTGCAAGGGCCAAAACCCCCGATTTGGTCATCAAAAACCTGACCGGGGAAATGGCTTGGAGGCCGAGGAATCGCTCCTGCGATTTTACCCAAGCTGGACCCCAGTTCCTCGACCGGGTAATTTTAGAGAGAGACCAAGTTTTAACCCAACAGGTTGCGCACCGTTTCGCTATTACCCGGCCGGTTTACCTTAAACCCGACCAGGTGATTGGACCGGGTTTCCGCTAGAGGAGTTGTTAGATGCGAATTATGGGTTCTTTGAGCAATCAATCAAGTTTTTGAGAAAGAGAGTGAAACCTAGAGAGAGAAAGCGTTGAACTAAACCTCCAAAGTGACCTAGATCGAGTTTTGAAGCCATTGGAGCTCGATTGAAGCTTGGAGAAGTGCCGATTGACAACCATAAGCCAATTTCCATCCTCCACAAAATGATTTTCACATCTGAAGCTGATTTCTCTTCTCTTTGTATGCAGTAAACTCTCTCTCTCACCTGGTTATGAAGAACCCTAGATTTATATGTTAGGTTTGGTTGTATGAACCCAAGTACATGATCTTTTGACATTGATTATATTCAATTGAGCCATGATTTTCTGAATTGCATGAACCTTGATCAAATTCCTATAGTTTATGCTTTGACCTAGAAAGAGCATATCCGCCTAGGTTGACAGAGCACCCTTAATTGAAGGTGGAGAATTGACTACTTTAGTTGAGGAGACAATTCTCTGTTCAATATTGGATTTATTCCAGTAGAGGAGGTTTTGCACGTTAGGGCCTCAGTTTGTTTACTCTGGTGCAAGTTAGTTGCCCGCCGGGTATTCAGATTGAGAATGTATGGGGACCTTTAGTCGAGACTTCAGATTGAATAAGAATCTTCCGCAGTATAATTTTCATTAAATCTGGACTTGGTGAATTACAACTTGACTTAACTGCAATATAGGGGAAACATATTTGGGTGACCTCTCTCAAACTTGATGCAATCAAAGTCGCATAGCTCCAAGCAATTCGAACCAAAAGAACTGGATAGGATGGAATCGATCAGACAATACTCACTTATGAACTAGGGCAATCGATATATTAATCGATCGGATAGATTATCTTCGGAATAAAGGGCAATCGATATGGGTAGCTCGCCACAACTAGGGTGAATACCTAGCTGATAAGAGTCGCTCTAACACTCCAGAATTCTCAACAGAGTAATCAGGGCAATAGTCTTCAAAGGAACTCGGCAATAGCCTCTGAAATTTAATAATAATCATTTTGGGTCCAAACCAACGAGTTCAGCCCTTTAAATCTGCCTCAAACAACCCAAATCCGAAAATAACAAGGAAAACATCAAAGTAAACCGACTTAAGCAAAAACAACCCGTTAAGCAAAACCCGTTAAGCAAAAACTCATTAAGTATGCTTATTGCATTCTGCCATCTCTTCCACACTTCCTTCTTCCTCCACTCGAATCATCATATAAGGCCTTCCTCTAAACAGGTCCGCGTCCATAGCTCCAAAATGATTCTCCAAATAAGTTGCGAGCTTCTCTTTCAATGCTCTTGTCTTAGCAAGTGTTACTGGCTCTTGGATGCCCTCATCATTTATTGCTTTATGTTTGTTTAGTTTAGTTATAATCTCACTACAGTTAAACCGCTAGATAACAAAAATTTCAAGGAGTAGTCATCACATCTAGGACCCGGGTTGACAATTAAAGCGAAAACCGCTATACTGCGCATTAGTAGGTGGTTACACTTGGCCACTTTCTAGTGTGTCGGTACAGGCGAGTCAGGTGCTTTAGACGATATATGTGAATTGGGTACGAAAAAGGGCACAAGTGTAGCAAAATTGGCAAGAAGCTGATGATCAAAGCATAAAGGGGAAGACCACGGCCGAGAAAGCAGGCCGCAAATTAGAAGTGAAGATCACGGCATGAGAGCCCAAGTTTGCTTCCGCGAAACTGAAGGCCTAGGGCGCGAACTTCGTGTAGAAGCCAACCGAGGGAGAACATAATGTTACGTCAGTCTGATCACGGTCACTGTCTTCCCTGACCGTGACAAAGTTCAAAGCTGCGACTCACGGATCGTGACCGTGAAGTCAGCCCGCGAACTCCCAGCAAATGAAGACTAAAATGGCGACGCCTGAAGATCGTTATCTCGGAGGAGAAGATCACGACGCGATCTCCACTTGCCCGGTCGTAAACTTGTCCACACCCCTGAAGTCTATAAATAGAGGACCTCTACTCCCATTTTAATAGATCTTATTTTGAGATAGAAATCTCTGATTTAGAGAGAGAGAGAGAGAGAGAGAGAGAGAGAGAGATAAGCTGAAAGAAGGAGAAGGAGAAAAAGCTAGAAGAGATGAGTCATCTTCCTCAACATCAAGTCTTCTCTAAATTCTTCTATGTATCTTCTTCCCTCCTTTATGGAGTAGTCTCTTAAGGTACTAGGTATGTAATGAATGAATATGTAGGGTTTTGAATGAATGTGTTTGTCTAGTTGATTTTAACGTTTCATCTACTTTAATTGTGCTTGGGTAAGTTTCCCTAATCTTCTTTATTATCCTATTTGATCTTCTATGTTGGGTATGGAGTTTTAGGGTTAGACGAGTATGTGTCATCTTGAAAATTATGGTTAGATGATTGAATAAGGTCTTGTGGTGGATAGTACCTATTGAAAGGAGCTAAGTTCTTACACCCCCAGATACGTGAATCTACAACGAGGTGTCAATAGGGTAGGTAGGGCGTACTCGGAGGCGTGTGGATAATCACGAAGGCCCATAGAAAAGAGCTCACTCACCACATTCTCTTAACCCTACATGACAACCATAGCTAACAGGATTTGAACCTAGGAAACCGTCTCATCTCTAGCAACCTCCCAACCACTTGGTTGGTTGTTTAGGAGTAGGTTAGGTTATACTCTTCACTAAAATTTTGATTCGATTGGATAGTAGTTCGGAGCAAAGCAATAGTAAGCTTAGGGTTACTTTGGAATACGATCAATCCACTTTATTACAACCCTAAACTCTAAATTCAACTCTTAAACACTAAATTCAACTCCTAGACCCTAAATTCAGCGCCAAAAATTTCCAACGACAGGTACTAGGTCGAAGATTCCGGTGGGCGGAACCATGCCGGGCAGAAAGAATCCCACGGCCGGAACTAGGATGGCCGGAGGAAGGTCGACCCAAAAACTTCCTTCAGGAGAGCCTGGCATCGGCCATATTTTTCTGTCAGCCCGACCTCGTTCCGGCTGCCAATTTCTTTCGGCCGACCAGGTTTCGGCCGTCGGAATCTTATGGCCCGTCGTTTGTCCCTTGAAAATCGATAGAAAAATTGTTCGAAACCCAAAAAAATTGACGCACCTGCTTATTGATAAATCATGGATGCATGTGCGCAGTTTACGTCGAGGTTCAACTTTTCTGATGTTTTTTTTCGGCGAGTTTTCCAGCAAGCGTCGATTTTTTTTATGATTGAATACATTTTTTGAGAGTTGGATATTTATTGTAGGTAGTGACAAATAGTAATACTTTTTATAACTTATTGGGTTGGTGGCATTTAACATGCCACCAAATTTTTAATCAAGCGTGATACTTTTTATAACTTATTCAACTTATTATTAACTAAAATTCATTATTATTATCTAATATATTCAACATCTCATAAATTTGCATAACACAAATTAAAACATCTATAAGATAAGTTAATCTTACATAATAGTTTAATCAAATGTTGAATCTACAACTTAATTTTATTATTAAACCACCCGTTATGAAAGATTATGTAAAGTCGTTCTATAATACTTATTAAATACACTACGTAGAATTTACGAGGGTTGAAAAAATTGTTATTTCCTATGTATCATAATAAACCTACCATAATAATTAAGACATTATGTAAAACTTACGGAAAGTGCATTACTTGAACTATCTTGTGAATCATTTTATTTCAACTAAATTATTAAATGAGTATGTGAAATGTTATTACCAAAAGAAATAATTAGTTTATTATTGTCGCGAATAGCAGACAAAAAACTAGTAATCTTAAAAGGAAAATGTTATGTGAATATTTTCTTATTTACTTATTGCTTACTGGCTACGTCATAGAGTTATATGAGCTTTGATCACCTTCTAGTCTATTGTTAACTTTACAATTAACTGAAGATTTGGGAACACAAATTATGCAAATTCTGATAATATAATTCCTCTAGTGGAATTTCATTAAAATTAATATATAAAAGACATATACATACATATCCGCCAGAAATATTAACCATACTTTTATTTCTTCAATCAATCATATAACACAAGTCGCTTATATATAATAGTTCCGTTCTCTGGCAACCCTTTGAAAGTTGAAACAACCACCACCACTAATCTAGTGTAGTGATTGAAGAAGATAAATCAAGTCCACAACACCTTCCGACCCAATGAAATCATCAGCAACAAACTTGGAGCCTTTGCTCCACAACCGGCAACCAGTCTCATCATACGACGCCGCCTGATACGCAATGCAATCGCAATCCTTCCAGCACTCGCCATGGCAATCACTCAAACTCTGCAAAAATCCCACCTCACCGCCACCGCCACCGCCAAACGATTCCTCCCCGTTCACCATGTACCCTCTCTTGGCCACAAACGCTTCCTTCGCACTCCGGCACGCACTTGCCTTCTCCGCCAAGCAAACCCCTGCGCTCTCGTTCCCCACCCCTACCGGGCATGGGCTTCCGGCCGTGTCGAAAATCCACGAGCTGATGCTCTCCCTCTGGTCCAGTGTGAAGAGGGTGAGCTGGCCCAATGTGTCCAGGTCCATCCTCGACAGAGCAGGCCCATCTTTAACCATATAGGTGAAGTACCTTTCCTCAGGATTCCTGACGAATTTGAATTCGTAAATTCCCGAGTCCTTGGTGAAGCCTGTGAGAGAAGTAGCATTCTGAAAGCTCCCTGAAGTGAAAATGATAAGTAAGAACTTAATCATATTTTTATATTAATAATGATGCCACGCGAGTAGTATCACTATCAATTGGCTACCGATGATGTTATACCGTTCTGGAAAACTCCGGTAGACCAGTAAATCTCTCCGCGTCGCCGGACGACCAATTGGTCGACTCCTGATTGGTCGAGGCAAACTTTGAAGGCGCCAGGCGAAGGTAATTTGTTGCTGACCCAGGAGGTCAGCTCCCAGGTCTGACCGGTTCTGAAATTCATGCCCAATTTCATTCCAGGGAGAAGCATGTTGTGAGGGTAATCGAAGCTCTGCCACAGGGCAGAACCAAATGGGATTCCTCTGGAATTCACCCTTCTGACCACCAGGTTGCCGGAATCGAGCAGGGTGAGAGCTACGTCGTTGTTTGAGGTGTTTTTCTGACTAGGGTTTATGATTACGGGGTGTTGTTGATTTCCTCGGTGTGTGAGCTTGAGTTTGCCGTCGTTGGGGTCGATTGACAGGGCGCCGGAGGAATCCGGGATCGGGTCTTCACGGTTGGCTACCCAGACCGAGTAGAAAGGGATGTGGTCGAACCAGATGCCTAGGTAGCGTGGACCGGCTGGGCCGAGATGGACGGTATCTGGGTTGGGATTGAAGAATCCCAACCTAAATACCTTGCTCTGGGAGACCAACTGCTCCCAGTCGCGGAGCAGCTGGCCCGGTTTGAGTGTGTCGGTCTCTTTAGTGAGGACATGGCTGAAGCTAATAGAGGAAGAAATGATGAAGAATAGGAGGAAGAATGCTGAAGAAGACACGGTAGCTATAGAGAGCATGTTCTGTGTGAGCATTTTTTGCAGCTTGTTGGTCTGTGGTTTTATAGCCAGAAAGGAAGATTTTGGACCTGGTGGGAGCATCAACAAAATGTGGATGGCAAAGCTCGATAGTCAGAGTTGGGTTTCACGTGGAATTGAGTGTTGACTGAATTACTCATCTGTAGCTCTTCGGGATTACATACACATTTATGAAGGCTGACCATGTTATGAAAAAAAAAAAAGAGAATTCTACCCAAAAAAAAAGGCTGGCCATGTATCTAGGAGTGCAGGAATTTTCCTTCGGAAAGTGATTTTATGAGTCGTTGTTCACTAAGAGACAGAGAGCGTGTGGCCACTAATTTCTCAATGTTATTGCGGAGAATCACAGTCTCGTGACTTGGACTTTTCTCCCTTAATAGCTATCTTATCTCGAACCTGTAGTGCAAGTTTCAGCAACTAACTATAACTGTGCTAGTTGCGATTAGAAATTAATTTGCAAGGCAGCAACTTGTCTTTTCTAATGTACTAGCAATGACCCGCTCGCTACGTTTTGTGCGAGAATATAATAATATTAAGTTGAAGAGACAACATAGTAATTACTAATGGCGAATAGAATACGGTGATAACCAAATAGCCAACACATGTCAACAAAATGTCTACATATAAGTTTTATACTTGTACACAACATATATAGTCTGAAAGAGTATATATATATGCAGGTGACATGGTCACAGCAAGAAAGTAATAAAGGTATTTGAATTTAGACTGATAATGCTACAGGACGTCAATGCTTCGTAGAAAACTAAGGGGTCGTTTGGAAGTTGCGATAGTTTTGTTGAGATTGTCATTTTACGTTTCCGTTTCTGGGCAAGGTTTCTTCTTCAGTTCCTCAGAGTCCTCTACATCTTCATTTTACTTGTCCCGCAGAGTATCTTCTTCGTCTTCTTCACTTGATACTAGGGATGACAATTTTGCCCATGCCTATGGGTTTTTAACTATCCAACCCAATTGGGTTGGGTATGAAATCCATATAGATGGATATGGGTAGAGTTTGATGGGTTTGTACTCATACCCATTTACTTTGGGTTGGGTTGGGTTTATAACAAATGGATTTGGGTTTGTACCCATGCCCAAATACAAATTACAGTTTGGTACCTAAACTTAATAGATATGCATATTTAGTACCTAAATTTTATTTTTTTGCATATAAGTCCTCAAAATATCAATGAAAAATTACGTTTTAGTACCTAATTTTTTAGGTCTTACATTTTGGTACCTAAATTTTCAAGTTTTACAAATAGGTCCAATTTTTGCATATGTAGTTAAAACACCCTCAAGTTTTACAAATAGGTCCAATTTTTGCAAAAAAAAAAAAAATTTGAAATCCGAGTTAAAACGAAGAAGATATGAGCCGATTATGAAAACTAGGGAAAATAAAATGTCTTTAATTGACAACTCTTAGATCTGAATTTTCTGGATTCACTTAGATCTAAAGGTCCAGGTTTAGTTACTCATAGATTAGTAACCAATGGTTACTCACCCTATCCTAAACCACTAGTATCCTCTCAAAAATGTGTAACCAAAAGATTGAGAATTTGTAAAACTGAAGATCAAGTTGAAAGATCATAACTCGTGCCACATAAATTCTATGGAAAGATTTAAGCGATTTCAAGAGCTAAGAAAGAATATGATTGGAACCTCACTGAACTTAACCTCAGATTCACAGAGGTGACTTGGGCGACCACCCAAACATTGTGAATGGGTAAGTGCGATGAAACGATAAGAAATGAACACAACCAAACAATTTTTTGATAATGGTTACAACATGGTAAGAGTAGAATGGATGAGATAGTGGATCTCTGGCTCACCATGGCAACCAAACAATTCTATTCATGCACAAAAAGGTTTTTACACCTTTTAAGCGATGAAACGATAAGAAATGAACACAACCAAACAATCTTTTGATAATGGTTACAACATGGTAAGAGTAGAATGGATGAGATAGTGGATCTCTGGCTCACCATGGCAACCAAACAATTCTATTCATGCACAAAAAGGTTTTTACACCTGCCTGACCTTAGCTGTCTTTTCCCTAGCATTATATCCAACTCTAGTTGACAGTGTTGTAGAGGTATGATTGTGGATTGATGGACCTATCAACTACGCAGGCTCCAGTAAAAAACATTTTTTTTGACAACACGGGCACTCGAATATATTCCAAATGAGACAAAAGAGTCAAGTTACAGAAGGGGTGAAACAATATCGAGAACATGGACCCAATCCGCGGGGAGCTGGTTCCTGGCGCACGATCTGGCCACCCAGTCGGCTTTGGAGTTCCTCTTCCTGCAAATCCAGTCAATTCTGATATTGGGGAAGAGTCTGGTCAGGAACAGAATTCTTCCCAGGTTGGCTGCAGCTCGCCATGGCCAATCTCTCGGCAGTCCCTGGAGGGCCTTCACCAGCACCAGGCAATCCGACAGAATCCGGCAAGGGGCGTTGAGGTCAACCGCGGCCAAGGTCCCTTCAAGTAGAGCTTTTGCTTCTGCTTCAATCGGAGATAAACTGTGCAGCGTCTCAGCCTTCCCGTCAACAACTTGACCATGGTCGTTCGTGATAACTACGCCATAAGCCGCCTCCTGGGGACCTTGTAAAAACGATCCGGCACAGTGTACCTCAAAACAGGGAGTACTTGGCGGTGGTAAAGTTGGATCGGGGGTGGGATAGGCTGAGATTGGGTGGATACCGGTCTTTTCCTCGGGAAAATTCTCCATTGGTGTGCCTCCTCCAGTGCGTGGGATGAAGTTGCAAATAGCCTAGGTGGCGTTGCCCGGAACACTTTCTCATTCCGCGCCTTCCACGTATGCCACAACAGGTAGATGCAGTTCTGGACTCGTTCGAGCGTGCCACTCAACGACACAGAGAAGAGCCAGTCGAGAACATTTGTGAGTGGAGGGGGGATGATGAGATCAGGGAAAAGAAGATCCCATCCTCCAGCAGCGTGAGGGCAGAGGAAAAGACAGTGGTGGGAGGTCTCTGCTGCGTCATCACAAACAGAGCATGTCGGGGATGGGGAGCATCTTCTGGCCTGGAGATTAATTCGAGTAGCCAAAGCTCCCCTTGAGGCTCGCCAGATGAAGAATTTCATTTTTGGTGGCAGGTGGAGCCTCCAAAGCCAGTTCCATTTCTCTTTGGTGGAGTCCTGTACAGATAGCTCTTCTCCCTGATCCCTCCTCCACGTTCGGTGGAAGAAATGAAAGGCAGACTTGACTGTGAATGTGCCCTTCTCGTCGAATCTCCAGGCCCAGTAATCCCTCATGGTGCTGGGTCCAACTGGCGTGCTTGTCACCTCTTGAAGTTCAGAGGGAGAGAGGAATTCCTCAAGCAGGTCGAACTTCCAAGCTCGGGAGATGGGGTCAATGAAATCCGCAACAGTAGAGGTGTTGCCATTTTCGAAGTGTCTGAGGGGACCAGCACGAAGAAACAGCCATGGGTCATGGTGGAAGTTGGTATTGCTTCCATTTCCAATGACTCTGATTATCCCTCCTTCCATCCACTTTCTGGCCTCCCAGATGCTTGACCCAATCCAAGAAGCTTTGCTGCCTTTCTTAGCTCTGGTAAAGTCAACCTGTGGGAAATAGAGTCCCTTCAGAAGTCTTGCCCATAATGCCTCGGGGTGCGTAAGAAGACGCCATGCTTGTTTGGCGATTAAGGCAAGATTGAACACATTGAAAGGTCTGAAACCAAGTCCTCCTTCGGATTTATGGGCATACAATACTCTCGCTGCCCTCCAATGGATTGACTTTTTTGAAAGTGAACCACTCCAGAAGAATCTCCTGAGCATAGCATCCGTTTTGTTCGTCATTGTACGAGGTAGGAGGAAAAGGCTCATGATGTAGGATGGGACTGCCTGGAACACAGCTTTGAGTAGGGTTTCTTTTCCCCCTGGGGATAACAGCAAGCTCTTCCATGAATCACCTCGTTCTTCCATTCTTTGAAGAAGAAAGTGGAACGTTTCTTTTTTTGATCTGCCCCATTCCGTGGGAACTCCCAGGTACTTGGAGTGAGTAATGGAGCAGTCAAAACCAGTAGCGTGGAAAATGCCTTCCCTTTCGTTCTCGGTGACATTCTGGCTGAAGAAGACAGAGGATTTTTCCCGGTTGACCTCCTGTCCTGTGATCGAGCAATAAGAATCAAGAATCTGCAGGATGTTCTGTGCTTCCTGGATAGAGGCTCCACCGAAGATCACGGTGTCATCAGCAAACAGGCAATGGGTCAGCAGGGGGCAGTTTCTGTTCAGCTAGAGGCCTCGTATTTCTTGTCTCTGTACCGCTTTTTCAATAAGGAAAGAGAGTGCATTAGACATCAGTATAAAAAGCAGAGGAGAAAGAGGGTCTCCCTGTCTCAGTCCTCGGGAGGGTGTGAACTCGGATGATGGTTCCCCGTTTAAAAGGATTCGGAATTTGACCGTTGAGATGCATGACTTGATCCATTGGCACCACACTTCATTAAAGCCGTAGGCTCTCAGAAGCTCAAGGAGGAATTGCCATTCAACAAGGTCATATGCTTTTCGCATATCCAACTTCATTAACAAATCTTTGCCACTTCCAGACCGACTGTTCTTGAAATGATTCAGTACTTCATGAACAATGATAATGTTGTCTTGTATGAGCCTTCCGCCTGTGAATGCCGATTGGAGATCGTTAACCAGCCCAGGGAGCCAGTTTTGTAGTCTGTTAGTTAGAATCTTTGTAATGACTTTGTACTTGAAATTGCAGCAGCTGATTGGCCTAAACTGGCCAATCGTTTCAGGGAAGTCCACTTTTGGGATGATGGTAATGAAAGTGTTGTTCCAAGACTCAGGCATCACCTTGGATCTGAAGAAGCCAATAATCTCTTCACAAAGCTGATCTCCGATCACACCCCAGAATTTCCTAAAGAAAAAGCCCTGGTCGCCATCAGGGCCAGGAGCTTTGTTTGCTCCCAGGTGGAAAACCGCTTTGCGTACTTCATGCTTCTCAATGTCAGCAGTGAGTGCTTCATTTATCTGATTAGTCACCAGTTGCGGGAAGCCTTCCAGAAGTGAGTGGTCGAAAGTCCCTCCTTTACTGGTGAACAGACCACGGTAGAACTCAATGATGTGGCAGTCCAGATCCTCACGATCTTCCAGCCAAACTCCTTCGGGGGTTTTCAGTTTAGAGATCTTGTTCCTATTCCTCCTTTTGACAGTGCTGGCATGGAAAAATCCCGTGTTCTGGTCCCCTTCTTGGAGCCAGCCATTTCGGGACGTTTGAGCCTAGAATTCCTCCTCCGTATTCCAGATTCTTGCGAGCTCGAGACTGAGTGCTTTTTCTTCGTTCATCATTTCTTCTGTTCTGATTGGACCTTGTAAAGCCTGTATAGTCGCTTTGATTTCCGATTCTCTTCTAATTTTGTTGTTGTGATTAACTCTGGCCCAGTGTTGGAGTTCTTTCTGGCAATCAGATAACTTCTCACTGACTTGGCCTTCTCTGTTCCATCTGGTGGTGATAATTTGGCAACACTCCTCGCTATCCCGCCATCTTTTATCAAACCTGAATGGGGTATGTCTCGGTTGATGTTTGGGGTGGAGGTCAACTCTAATCGGACAGTGATCCGATTCAATAAACTCTTCATGAAAGA